GGGCTGGTGCACTGGGATGACCCAGAGGGATGGGATGGGGAGGGAGGCAGGAGTGGGGATCGGGATGGGGAACACATGTAAATCCATGGCTGATTCATGTCAATGTATGGAAAAAACCACTACAATACTGTAAAGTAATTAGCCTCCAACTAATAAAAATAAATGCAAAAATAAGAAAATAATTTTCTATTGACTAAAGAACATAGAACCTTTCTTTCTTTCTTTTTTTTTTTTTACTAAGCATAGAACATTTTTATCACATGACTGGTAACACACTAGCCAAACTGCTTTTCAAGTTGCCCTGAATACCTTTTAACATTCTCTTGAATACCTCATACTAGAATGCCTATATGGAAGTATTCCTTTGGCTTATTCAACTTGCTCGTTTCAATGAAATGAGAAAGGAGATGGCAAAATATATTATGGATTTATGAGGCTGTTGCCTGCAAATATCCACAGCACTTGGATTATGCTAAAACCACTCAGTTTTTGGTGGTGGTGTGCAATTTGCCTTTTCATTCTCTAGTTAAAAAATGGCAATGATAGCAGTAAGATCAGAGATGGAGAAAGCTAGGAATTATTATGTTTTTCCAGCATTTGGAATCATTTTCCTGGTTTCACACTGTCTTCCAACTTTGACTGTCAAAGTGAGGTGTACTAAAAGGTCAGAAAAACTGGAGATAAAGGAAAAGAATCACTTGCATACAGAGTACGCTATCAGGATTGGGAGAGTTACAACTGAAATATGCTTTGAGGCATTCCTCAGTACAGTGTCTTAGGGTCAGTAAATTTCTGCAAACTTTTAAGAGACAGAACAATGTAAACATGCTTGTGAATTTTAAATTTCTCATAACAATAATTCCAAGCTCCATAAGTTATGAAAGAGACCTAGAAAGTTTTTGTTCTTAATTTGCTTTGACTTTTCTCATCATATATTACCCAAGAAGCAAAAACATTTTATTTCTGTTTACCTAATATACTTTAAATAAAGTATAATGCAGAACAGCTCTTTCCTTTCATTAAAAAATAGATTTGTTTTGAAAACAGTGTATACAGAGAGGAAGCAAAAAAATTGTCATGGTAACAAAAGTAAACTGTCCATCTGGGCTCCTCGTGTATCTGTGGTTTTCACTGCTTTCTACTTTCCCTTGTTTTTCTTCCCCGGAATAGTGAGAAACCTTGCTAGATAAAAAAGGAGTTTTCTGAAGGCATCTCTCTGTGAGGAGACAAAGCTATGATACAAATCACAAAAGGCTAAGGTAAAAAAGCATTACAAACATACAGAAACCAGGAGCAAACATACAGACCATCTCAGGATGTGTCCTAGGGCATATTCCTTGAACACAATCTCTTTAAGGACTCTCCTCTTGAAATATACCATGACTTATGAAACAAATGTTAATATCAACTATACCAATTGATTGTTATGAAGCATAGATTTACATGGAATGTTAGTATTCCAGGTTTTAATGTAAATACCAGAAATGTATTCCAAAGAATCCTTCTGAAATGAGATGACAGTTTTATCAGAAAAAAGCATTTGTACCTTAAAAGCATACATGTCAGTAATCAACATTTGTCCTTTTGATTATTTCATAAAATCCTAAGGTAGACAAAATTAAATGCTGAGTCTACTTACAATATTTTCCAAAAATCAAGATGTAGAGGAAGACTGGACCAGATATCATTTCCTTCTCAGAGAAACTGATTAATGAAAGTGAATGCAATTTGCTCCTGGTTTCTGAGTCGCTTCGCCTCACGGTGGTTGTATGCTATTTCTGTCTGCAATCTTACCAGTTACAAAGCAACCCCCCACCCGCCTCTCCCTCTCTCTTTCCAGTCCTTTTTTCTTTCTTCCTTTCCCTTTCACAATCTCTCCTCCCCACCCACCTTCTCTAAAAGTCTTAGTATTTTTCTTCACACACACACAGATGAAGTTTCAGGCAGAGAACACACAAGCTCTTCTTGTCAACTTTAAATATCGAGCCTCCATCCCTGGCAACAGTCTATAAACGAGGATGTGTATGGACATTGACAAATGTCTGAACTGATCAAAGTTACACAGAGAGACAGCAATCGAGCTTGGAGATGCATCAGGAGCCAAAACTGTTTCCCCTGCCGTCCTGTGACTTGGGACTAGGAAAAGAACAGGGCAATGCAGCACAAAATGCCTTTGTGGAATGAACTATAAGGCAGGAATTAAAGTATAGCTCAAGTAATCTTTTGTGAGCTGTCTGAGTTTAGGCATTTGAAGGATAGGATATTGTGCAAAGAACAATCTAGAGGGATGATACACAAATATTACATTTTCTTGGACTCATTAGTTTTACTATGGTGGAGATCACACTGTGTCTGGCGGTAAAGTAAAACCTTCCTGGGTTTGAGTCACCGTCGGCTTTTTGAGACTTGTGGAGCCACTGATTCTTGGTCAAGCCTTGCCTCCCTGGAGGAAGACATCTCTCTAGCCAGGCAGCTGTGATGACCAGCAGAGAACTCACTATCTGGCATGGGTCCCAGGACATTGTATGTGTTTACTAAATGGCAGCTGTTCACAGGGTGATGTTCTATTATTTTCAGCAGTGGGATTAAAAAGTCATGTAAATGTAAAGAACATTTACATGTAACACAGCTTCTTTTAATCTTCATTTTCATTGAAGTAAGGTTGATTTACAATATCATGTTAGTTTCAAGTGGGCAGTGCAGCAGTTCAGTTATACATACATACATGTTCTCAGTCGTATCTGACTCTCAGTGGCCCCGTGGACTGTAGCCTGCCAGGCTCCTCTGTTCATGGGATTTTCCAGGCAAGAATACTGGAGTGGGTTGCCATTTCCTTCTCCAGGGGATCTTCCCAACCCAGGGATAGAACCCAGGTCTCCTTGGGCATTGCAGGTAGATTCTCTACCATCTGAGCCACCAGGGAATCCCTACATACATACATATATATGTATTCTTTTTCAGAGTCTTTCCCTTCATACCTTATAGCAAAATATTAAGTATAGTTCTCTGTGCTATACAGTAGATCCTTGCTGTTTATCTATTTTATATACAGTAGTGTGTATATAATAATCCCAAATTCCTAATTCATCCCTCCCCATGTTTCCTCTTTGGTAACTGTAAGTTTGCTTTCTATGTCTGTGGGTCTATTTCTGTTTTTTAAATAAGTTCATTTGTATTATTTTTTATGTGTCCCACATATAAGACAAATATTGTGTGATATTTGTCTTTCTCTGACTTACTTCCCCTACTGTGATCATCTCTAGGTCCATCCATGAGATGGACTGCTACAGTGGCATTAAGAATGCATTATCCTTAAACCAGGCTATATCATTCTTATTTTGCAACTTGATCATTTATTGCCAGAAGAAATGGGTAACACTTTGACATGATAAATTTGTTTGTGAGGTTAATGTCTCTTAACCATTCATCATGTAGAATCTATTTAAATTACATTGACTCTGACATAAGAAGTCTAATTCTAAATGGTGGCTAAACGATCATATTAACACCATTTTTTTTTTTCTGGTAGAAGTAATTAATACCATGAAAGGAGAAATGAGAGATATGAATGCTCACAATTCCTTATTCATTTAGCAGACTTATTTAATGAAATGTCATTCTTTTGGCAGAAATGTTTACAGTTAACTGGATTCAAGTGCTCATTTCATGATCAGTAAGTGTTCCTTTAATGTTTATTGTTCATCATAATACTTGATTTAAGTAGTTAATAATTTTAAAAATTACTTTAGAAATAGTGTTTCCTGGGAGGAGGCTGTGGGACATGTCAAGGGGCAGACCCATCAGAAGCTTCTCAACAGTAGTGCTGAGGAACTTGCTTTGGAAAGTGTCTGCATAAAGTGAGCTGTTAATACAGAGTTTTGCAAAGCAATCTTGATGTTATTTTGTCAGCTTTGAATGTTTTGCCTGAGCTGATGACACAGACAGACACAATGGCCAGCAGTCAGGAAACACTCTTTTCTTTAGAAAAAAAAAATTTATTTACTTGGATGCACTGGGTCTTAGTTGTGGCATATGGGATCTAGTTCCCTGACCAGAGGTTGAACCCAGGCCCCCAGCATTGGGAGCTGGAAGTCTTAGCCACTGGACCACCAAGGAAGTCCCAATATTCTTTGCCCCTCTCCCCCCCCAATATTCTTTAATAATATATACAGGTAGTGTATTTTGGGGCTTCCCAGGTGGCACTAGTGGTAAAGAACCCTCCTGCCAATGCAGGAGACATGAGAGACATGGGTTCAATTCCTGGATCAGGAAGATCCCCTGGAGGAGGGCATGACAACCCCCTCCAGTATTCTTGCCTGGAGCATCCCATGGACAGAGGAGCCTGGTGGGCTACAGTCCATAGGGCTGCAAAAAGTCAGATACAACTGAAGTGACTTAGCACATAGTGTATTTTTAATCTCAAATTATCACTACAAAACTTCAAAATAATTTCTCATTTCTCTAAGACTTTATAAATAGATTTTGCTAAAATATTTATTCAGAGGAACAATTTTAGACATTTGATTTTTCAGGAAATGAAAAACCTTTCTTATTTTTGGCAAAGACAGTAAATCTGGAATATTAGTTTTACATAAGTACATTGATGGAAAAAATGAAAGTGTATCAGAGTACCCCATCACACATTGCAGCAGGCACTATTTTTATTTAGAGTCAGAGGCTTCTTTACTGTGAAGGGCTGTCTTTTGCTTCGTAGTCTGTTAATCTGTATCCCTGGCCTCAACCCACTAGATGTCGATAGCACTCCCTGGTTGTGACAATTAAAAATGTCCCCAGACATTGGCAAATGCCTCCTGGGGGCAATGTGCTTCTAGCTGAGAAGTGCATTGTAGCAAAAGATTTCCCTGAACCGTGTTCAAGTATTGATTTTAAACAGATAGCTGAAAGAGAATTCTTCCTACCTAAATTTACTTATTTATCTTTTAAGATTATTTTTTATTTGGACCATTTTAAAAATCTTTATTGAATTTGTTACAATACTGTCTCTGTTTTATGTTTTGGTTTTTTGGCCACGAGGGATGTGGGATCTTAGCTCTCCAACCAGGGATCAAACTTGCACTCCCTGCATTGGATGATGAAGTCTTAACCACTGGACCACCAGGAAAGTCCTCCTGAATTTAAATCAAAGTATTTTCTCATTTTCTTGTTTGGCAATTTTTTAAAAAGATTTTATTAAAAAATTTTTTTTCTTGGGGTATAGTTGCTTTACAGTATTGTGTTCTTGTTTTGCAGTATCTGAAGACATACTTTGAGTTTTAAAAACAGATGTTGGTGGGGGGAGGGATAAATCAGGAGCTTGGGATGAACACACACACCGCTATACATAAAATAGTTAGCCAACAGAGACCTATGGCACAGACAAATATACTGAATAGTCTGTAACAGCCTTTATGTGAAATGAGTCTGAAAAAGAATGGATATATGTATAGCTGAATCACTTTGCCGTACCCCTGAAACTAACATAACATTGTATCAACTATAATATAAAATAAAAATTAAATTAAGAAAATAGAGGACATGTGAAACAAAACAAAAAACCCAAACGGGTGTTGTATCTGCTTGACTTTCCCTTCCGCACAGGTTGTTTGGTGATCACCCACATCATCATCGGCCCTACAGGATCTGGGACGCCACTGCCTCCGCTTGGCTGGGCGCATCTGGGGTTTCTACCCCACATCTGTGCTGACACAGACTTGTAGAGGTCAACACTTCTTCTTCAAACCTTATTTCGGCTCTCTGAATAATAACAAAATCTTCAGTTTGAAGATTATTTCTCAGAACAATGTGGTGAGCCAAACCAGACGAGCATTATTAACCTGTCTGTATTATGTAGATTCAAGTTTCTAACCTGGTGGTTTTTCCATCCCACTACTACTGAAATATACAATAATTTTCTTCAGCCATCATATTTTAAAATTCAGTCAGTCAGTTCAGTCGCTCAGTCGTGTCCGACTCTTTGCGACCCCATGAATCGCAGCACGCCAGGCCTCCCTGTCTTCCACCATCTCCCGGAGTCTACCCAAACCCATGCCCATCGAGTCGGTGATGCAATCCAGCCATCTCATCCTCTGTAGATAATGATATTTAAGGGCTTTGCTCCATGCTTCTGAACCTGTTTGCCACCATCATTTTCAGCAGCAGAAATAGTCATTTTTATGAAATGTCTGTTTGATTGTAGACCTGGGAAAGTCCCAATGAAAGAAGTTGATAAAATCTCAGTCAGGGCGTCACAATGTAGAGACATTCAGAAAATAGTAAGTCAACTCATACGTTAAAAATAGGTGAGATCCAAGAGCTAAATGCATGCTGTCATGTAGCTCATCCTATGGATCCATTTCTAATTGACAGCTGTCAGTCAAGCAACACCCTTGAGATACTCATCACTAAGCCTTGGCAAAAGACAATTTTAGCTGTCTTGATTTAGCATTAATTAAACAATTCTGGAATGCAATGATTTCTGAGGAATGATATCAAGCAAAATGTGCACCTGGGACAGAGCAACTAATAGGTACAGGCATTTCAGAAGACATTTTGTACAAAATCTGAACAATTTCATCCCAGGTGGAAGTGATCTGAAGCTATTATGTATACCATTTTAGCAGAGAATCAATGATTAAACAGTAAACCAACTCTTGTATGGATTCATGTGTTGTCTTTGAGGCATATAATATGGAAATAACAGAATTAAGTGATCCTCTGCAGAACTGACAGTGTGAAGATAGGGTCAGATTTAGCAAGCTCAACACCATCTATCTATCTATCAATCCATCTATCTGTCTGTTATCTACCATGCATCTATCCAATTTATCTATCTAATCTATAATATAGCCTATCTATCTGTCTTTCATTTATCACATATCTAGCTAATCTATTATCTACCTAATCTTTTGCCTATCTAATCTGTCATCTATTATGGCTTCCCAGGTGGCTCAGTGGTAAAGAACTCCCTTGCCAATGCAGGAAATGCGGTTTGATCCTTGGGTTGGGAAGATTCCCCTGGAGAAGGAAATGGCACCTCATCTCAGTACTCATGTCTGGGAAATCCTATTGGCAGAGGAGCCTGGTGGACTATAGTCCAGTGGGGTTGCAAAGAGTCTGACATGATTTAGGAGCTAAACAACAGCAATCATCTATTATACATCTGTCTAATCTACATAGCTAATCAATCTATCATCTATTATTTACCATGTGTCTATCTAATCTATTATCCAATTAATGTATTATTATCTAATCTATCTGTAATCTATTACTTATCATCTATCTAGTCTATCTAGTTAGTCTTTTATCTAACTAACCTATTATCTATGTAAAATATCTATCTAACTATCATCTATCATTTATCAAGCTAATCTTTTATCTACCTAATCTGCATGTGTGCATGCTTAGTCACAGACTACTCTTTGTGACCCCTAAGGACTGTGGCCCACCAGGCTCCTCTGTCCATGGAATTTTCCAGGCAAGAATACTGAGTGGGTTGCCATTGCCTACTCCAGGGGATCTTCCTGACCCAGGGATCAAACCTGCATCTCTTGTGTCTCCTACATTGGCAGACAGATTCTTTACCACTGTACCACCTGGGAAACCCCATCTAATCTATGTATCTGTCATCTATTATGCATTATGCATAATATTATACATATTATGCATTATCTGTCTAATCTATATATCATCTATTACCAATCATCTATCTGTCTAATCTATTATCTAATCCATCTATCTGTCTATCATCTTACACAGTAAATATCAATTGATGGCATTTGTTAAGTACAATCTAGATCTAGAATTTAGTAATATTAACCTTACCTTACTTACTATTGTAAGTGGACACACTCAAGTTTCAGACTCTTCTACTCAAATTGAGTCTACCCAGTTCAAGACGGACTAGGTGGTTCAACTATGGAAGATTTTTTAGAGAAGAATATCTGCATGGTGAGTGTGGAGACAGAGAAGATCATGAACTGACAGATAGAACGTAGTAGAAACAGTATTTCATGTCAAAAGCAAGTGAGTGCAGGGATAAGTATGGGCAAACAGCAGCAATGGATGGGTTATGTCAGAAAATAACAGGAAATGATAGCAGAGAGTCATGGGGCAATGTTTTGTTGGAGAGGGTCAGACAACAGGTTGATTAATTTAGACCACAAAGTAGGATTTATATTACATGTTGATATTCATTTCTGAGCAATGAATTGATACAAATCAAAAGGCTGCTAACAAGGAAGACCAGTCTCATGACCCTGGGCTTTAGAGATGAGCAAAAGTAGAGGTTGTAGTTGGGAAGATGAGGATGTTTTGTCACAGAGGTAAGTAAGCTATGTGGTCTAATGTGACTACAAAGGCCTGAAAACAAGTCACTGCCGGAGAGAGCACCATTTTACTCATGGCTAATCATAAACACCGGAGAAGGCAATGGCACCCCACTCCAGTACTTTTGCCTAGAAAATCCCATGGACGGAGGAGCCTGGTGGGCTGCAGTCCATGGGGTTGCTAAAGGTTGGACATGACTGAGTGACTTCATTTTCACTTTTCACTTTCATGCATTGGAGAAGGAAATGGCAACCCACACCAGTACTCTTGCCTGGAGAATCCCAGGGACAGCGGAGCCTGGTGGGCTGCCGTCTATGGGGTCGCACAGAGCCGGACACGACTGAAGTGACTTAGCAGCAGCAGCAGCAGCAATCATAAACGCACTCTGACTTTAATGAGACTCTTTTAAAGATTTTTGTTTTTTGATGTGTACCATTTTAAAAGTCTTTACTGATCTTGTTACAATATTGTTTTTACCTGAGCAGAGTTCACAACCTCTTCTTTGCCTTCATTTGATTGGGTTCCCCCAAGTGGTGGTGGTGGTGGTTTAGTCGCTAAGTCATGTCTGACTCTTGAGACCCCATGGACTGTATAGTCTGCCAGGCTCCTCTGTCCATGGGATTCTCCAGGCAAGAATACTGGAGAGAGTTGCCATTTCTTGCTCCAACCCCCAAATGCTCCTAGTGAATTTAAGGTTCTTGCTTCATCACTAAAGAATTCAGAGATGAAGTGATAGTAAGAAGTGGATTTATTTAGAGAGAAACACACTCAACAGACAGAGTGAGGGCCATCTCAGAAGGCGAGAGAGCTTCAAAATATAGTGTGGTTAGGTTTTATGGGTTGAATAATTTCATAGACTAATGAGTGGGAGGATTATTCCAGTTATTTTGGGGAAGGGGGGTGGATGTCCAGGAATTGGGCCACTGCCCACTTTTTGACCTTTTATGGTTGGCCTTGGAACTGTCATTGCACTGGTGAGCGTGTCATTTAGCTAATGTACTACACTGAGCATATACTGAGGTCAAGCTCTGCTGGAAGTCGAATCTTCTGGTGTCTTGGACCTAGTTGGTTCTAATCAGCTTTTGTCATGTCCTATGGCTATGTCATTCTTTTAAATGGTGTGATCTGCCCTTCTTCCCTCCTGTATCACAACAAAGCTTTATAAACAGGAAGATCACCGTCTTTTTTTATTTTAAGCTTGGGTTAGTAGTCCTTGTGGTACTACAACTCAACTTTTTCAAGGACTTGATTGTGTACTTATTTGATTCCAATTAGTTTCACGTGTCAGCAGTCACCTCTATAGTTCTTTTCTCAGGAAGGTTTTGTGAACATAATTCCCTGATTTGCTGTGTTGTTTTTTTTTTGCCTCCACCCCATCTCTTCATTTATCAATTTATTGAGGGTAACTTGAGTCAGTTAACTTTGCTGATAGTCCCCTCCTTTGTCTTTTCCCTGATCCATTGGTCTAAGTGAAAGGATTTTCTGAGCCAAATTCTTAGTTAGTCCTTTACTCTTATATATTTTAGGGCCCTCAAAGATTTTAACAATGTATGTCATGGCCATAACCTTAATTTATTCCTTAATACAAGGCTGATTTTGATTGACTTTTGTCACTTAGGGAATTGTTCAGTTTTATCTTTTACTGGTTGTGGTTGAGAAGCACACAGTCCTAATCCTTCAAATTACGAATTTCTGGACTCTATTTTTTTTCATTTATTTATTTTTTGCAAACTGGTAAATTATTTACTGAGCTCATTTATTTTTAATAAAATCTTTCAGATCATAGGCAATAGCAATCAGTGCATCTTACTGCATTTCTAGAATCTCTTGTCCTGTTGTTGTCATTTGGCTAAGTCATGTCCGACTCTTTGCAACCCAATGGACTGTAGCAAATCAGGCTCCTTTGTCCATGAGATTTCCCAGAATACTGGAGTGGGTTGTCATTTCCTTCTCCAGGGCATCTTCCTTAGGTATACTATCTAATTGCTGGGTTATCACTGGTAATGATATTACCAAATGCTTTGCCACTACTCATCCATGGATAAATATCCTCAGAGCTTCTGATAGCAGTTTCTTTTCTGTCTGCCCCCTAGCTGTTAAGCCAATATCACCCATTTTCTTTTTTGAAAAATCATTAATTTTGTTAAATCTTGATCTTTCATTACATGCATTGTTTTCCTTTAGTGACTTTCTTCTCTTTTTTCAATTAAAAAAGTGTTTTCCCTTAATCATTTTTAAAATTGAAATATAGTTAATTTACATTGCTGCATTGTTTTCCTTTAATGACCTTCTTCTGTTTCTTTTTTTCAAATTAAAAAATGTTTCTCTAATCATTTTTAA